CTTTTCCTGGATATGGTTGGGACAGCAGGGGACAAAGAGATCAATGTGGAACGGCCAACCACAAGCTTGAACAGCAGAGATGGGCCGAGTGGGCAGCTCGATAAAAGAGAGAGGGCGAGAGGGGGGAGAGAGAGGGAGAGAGACAGAGAGAGAGAGAGACAGAGAGAGAGAGATGGCGACGGATGGAGAAGGGGGAGTCGGGGGAGAGAGAGGGTGGGAAGAAGAGAGGGTCTGTGAGGGGGAGAGAGAGATGGTCAGAGACGGAGAGAGCGGTTGGTGGGGAGGAGCGAGACAGAGAGACGGAGAGAGAGGGAGAAATGGGTGGGGGGGGTGGGGGGGGAGGATCGAGACAGAGAGACGGAGAGAGGAGTTGGGGTGGGAGCGAGACAGGGAGATGGAGAGAGAGGGAGAGAGAGGTTGGGGGGAGAAAGAGACGGAGAGCAGGAGAGAAGGTTGTGGGGGGTTGGGCAGAGAGCTAGAGGGAGAGATTGTCGTAGAGATATACTACATGGAAACAGACCCTTCGGCCCAGCCTGCCCGTGCTGACCCAGATATCCTAAATTAATCCAGTCCCATTTCCCAGCATTGGGCCCGTAAACCCTCCCTATCCACGTCCCCATCCAGATGCCTTTTAAATGCTGGAACTGTACCAGCCCCCACCCACATCCTCTGGCAGCTCGTTCCATACACACACCGCCCTCTGTGTGAAACAGTTACCCCTCAGCTCCCCTTCCTCCCCTCACCTTAAACCTACGCCCCTCCAGTTTCAGACCCCCCCTACCCTGGGGCGGGGGGGGGAAGCTATCCATGCCCCTCATGATGTTATAAACCTCTATAAGGGTCATCCCCTCCAACGCTCCGGGGAAAACAGACCCCCAGCCTCTCTCCCTGTAGCTCAAAGATAGAGAGCAAAAGAGAGAGAGAGAGAGACAGAGAGAGAGCATCCTTTTGCAGGGGTGGGGAGAGAGACAGAGAGAGACACACAGATAGAGAGAGAGAGAGGGAGGGAAGGAGAGAGAGACAATCAGAGAGAGAGTCGATCTTTAAAAGGGGTCTCTCACGGGCAGAGAGAGAGGGAAGGAGGGAGAGAGAGGGAGGGAGAGGGAGAGAGGGAGAGAGGGAAGGAGGAAGAGGGAGAGAGGGAGAGAGAGGGAGGGAGGAAGAGGGAGAGAGGGAGAGAGAGGGAGGGAGGGAGGGAGAGAGAGATACAGAGACAGAGAGAGACACAGAGAGACAGAGAGAGGCACAGAGAGAGAGACAGAGAGAGAGGGAGAGAGGGAGAGAGAGGTAGGGAGAGAGAGATGGAGGGAGAGAGATGTACAAAGATAGAGACAGAGAGAGGCACAGAGAGACAGAGAGAGGCACAGAGAGAGAGAGAGAGACACAGAGAGAAAGAGAGAGAGACACAGAAAGACAGACACAGAGAGAGAGAAACACACAGAGAGACACAGAGAGAGAGAGAGACACAGAGAGAGACAAAGAGAGAGGGAGAGAGGGAGGGAGAAGTAAGGAGAGAGAGATGGAGGGAGAGAGAGAGATGGAGGGAGAGAGAGATACAGAGATAGAGACAGAGAGAGGCACAGAGAGACAGAGAGAGGCACAGAGAGAGAGAGACAGAGAGAGACACAGAGAGAGAGAGAGACACAGAGAGAGAGAGAGAGAGAGAGAGACACAGAAAGACAGACACAGAGAGAGAGAAACACACAGAGAGACACAGAGAGAGAGAGAGAGACACAGAGAGAGAGGGAGAGAGGGAGGGAGAGGTAAGGAGAGAGAGATGGAGGGAGAGAGAGATGGAGGGAGAGAGAGATACAGAGATAGACACAGAGAGAGACACAGAGAGAGAGACACACAGAGAGAGAGAGAGAGAGAGAGAGACTCCCTGTAGAAAAGGGGACCCTGTCCAGGAGCCTGGGAAGTGAATGTTTTCCCAGCCCCTGCCTGTGAACAGCATTCCTGATGCTGGATGGGACTCAGTTTCCGGGAACAGGAATGGAGGATGCTGTCCCAGGGACAAAGTAACTCCTCCGTCCCATTCCAGAGTTCCACCTGGGTCACACCTTTCCTGTGCGCAGTCGGTTCCACAGACCCAGTTCCTGGGAGGGGGTGGGGGGACATCATGGCTGTACGAGCCTCTGAACCCCTCCCCTCCCAGAGCACTCTGCCCCCTCATTAACCCTTTGTCAATCTCATGCCAACCCATACCTACTCGAGACAGAACACTAGTGCCCTCTGAGAACCTTTCAAATGCCCCTTTCCTTCATATGAAGCAGATGGGAGGGGCAATTCAAGTTTGCCTTTGCCCCTTCTCTTACCGCTCATAAAACTGTCAATCCGACAACTCGTGAAAATCTGGTTTGAGAAAGGAGTCTCCAACCTGCTGAGCATTTCAACACGTTGCCCTAATGGGCCAATATTCCATGGGAATGTTCCGCTCGGAAGGCTCATAAATCTGTCAATCAAACAAACCGATGTGTCCCCTTCACAGCTGCGCACACAAACCCTCACCTTCCACGGCCAGGTGTTCTGATGGGGGGAGGGGTTGCATTCTACAACGTTCCTCGATAGTGAGACTCACTTTTGTCTCTCTTCCAGATCTCTCCTACTCCGTTGACCAGAAGACCGCATCCCCACCTCCACTCGACACGGTGATGCTCAGCAGGAAGCCAAGACCCACCGCCCTACCCCTCCTCCTGCTCTGCCTCTCCTTCAGGGAGGCCCTGGGGTTGTGTGAGAAGGGCAGCGCCACCGAGTGCCAGGGGGCGTCCTTCGTGCCGGGGGCGCAGCTGGCGGGCGAGGGCTACGACGTGGTGACCCTGCAGACCACGGGGGCGTTCGCCGTGGACATGGAGTCCTGGCGGGACACTGATGGGACCTGCACTCTCTGCCGCAACAGGCTGCGGGGGGGGGGCGCGCCAGAGGCTGCCCACCTCCATGGCGGACTGGCGCACCCTGAGTTCGTGCCAGCGCTTGCTCTCCAGCCAGCTCTTCCGCTCGGACGTCCAGCTGGCGGAGTCGGCGGCATATGCCATCAGCAACAACTGGCAACAGGGCCTCTCGCTGCCCATCAAGCCTGGTGCCAAAGCCAACCTGGTGTTGGCCGGCTCCAAATCCAAGATGGTGAGCTTTGGCACCTCCCGCTCCAAGAGCGACCGCTACAGTTTCACCAGTCACCAGTTCCAGTGCCACTACTACCAGTATCGGGTGAAGGACAAGCCCCTCCTGGCACCTGAGTTTGCCCGCTCTCTGTCCACCCTGCCCCAGGAACTGAACAACGCCACCAGGCCCCAGTACAAGAGGCTAGTGGGCATCTATGGCACCCATTACCTTCGGTTGGTGGAACTGGGAGGCAGCATCAGCGACGTGACGGCTATTCGCACCTGCAAGGTGGCGTCTGAGGGCATCACCGCAGAGGAGGTGAATGACTGCCTGGCCCTGGAGTCCGGCGCTAAGGTGGGCCTGGCGGTGGGGGGCACAGCCGGCCTGTCCCGCTGCCGGGAGATGGGGCGCAGTGCCGGGCTCGTCACCAACTTCAGCCAGGCCTTCGGTGACCGGGAATCGGAGGTGACGGGGGGCCAGGCGATGGCGGGGAGGGACCTGCTCTTCTCCGGCGACAGCACGGCCTTCGCCCGCTGGGTGGAGAGCCTGACCTCCGAGCCGGGGGCCGTGCGCTACGCCCTGGAGCCCCTCCACCACCTGCTGCCGGCCAATGACACCAAGCGAAAGAACTTGCAGCGCTACATCAGCGACTACATCATGCTCAATGCCCTCTCCCAGCAATGCAAGGCCAACGCCCCGTGCCCCCACGGTTCCTACCGCAACCCCCGCCAACCGTGCACCTGCTTGTGCCACGAGGATAGCCGCATGGACCGGGATTGTTGCCCCGTACAGAAGGGCCTGGGGCACCTGGTGGTGACGGTCAAGGAGGGCCGGGACCTCTGGGGGGACGTCTTCTCGGGCACCGATGGCTACGTGGTGGTCAAGTACGGCCTGACGCAGGCCAGGACCAATGTGATCTTGAACAACAACAACCCGAAGTGGAATGCCAGGCTGGACCTGGGGGCAGTGAGGGCGGACGTCGGGCACAGGCTGGACGTCGAGGTCTGGGACAGCGACAGGGGCGCCCGTGATGATGTCCTGGGGTCCTGCCACCTACCCCTGGCCTCGGGCACCCACGCCCAGGTCTGCTACCTCAAGTACGGGAAGGTGATGCTCGACGTCTCCTTCGAGTGCGGGCCGCACCTAGGGGGCGCCACCTGCCGCCACTACATGCCGTGGCCCAACGGCACGTCCCTGGGCCCCCTCCTGCCCGGCTCCGGCCCCGGGGAGCCGCCCCTGCCCAAAGTGGTGTTCCCGTGACGATCCCCGCCCTCGCTAGACCTCCTCGAGCAACAGGATCACTGCGCAGACAAGGAAGCAACCGCGACCCCGGCCATCTGACGCACTTGGCATCAAGCCCATGCAACAACGCAAGGCTCACCGTCCCCCACCTCTCCCCCCCCCGGCCGATAAATAAGCTCGGGGAGTGCAAACGCTGAAGCGCAGCCTCCTCTCAGCCCCTCCCTGTTCTGCTTTTGCATTTGCTTCTGTGTGAACCTATCTTTTCCAATAAATGTGATTGAATGAGAATTAGCCTGTAGCGTGCGTGCTGACTTTTGCCGGTGGGTTGTGGGGTGGGGGGGGGAGAGGGGGAGAGGAGAAAGAGGTTGGAAGTTAGCTGGGGGGTGGGGGGAGAAGAAACCAGAGACGATTTCACATTTAGTCACAGAGTGGAACGTCAGAAGCACACACCTCAAAACTTAACCAAACCACAGCTTTAAGCTTCAAACAGACTGCAGCGAGATTAGTGCCCACAGACAATTGAAGCTGACAAATAGAGTGACAAATACTGCTTCTTTTTTAATGCATCAGGACGTTAACGTTTAGTTTATAATTAGCGACCTTGAGAACCGAGAAGGTGATATCAGACTTTGTCACTTTGCAGTCATCTGGACCCATTTGCAAGAAAGCCGCATTTCCAAAAGTTGGTGGTGGGTTTGGTCGGGGGGGGGGGGCGACAATTTGCGCTCGCGGATTCTGAGTGGGCTCGGAGAAACAACGGCGTTGGCAAAAAAATTCTCGGCCCCCGGTCCGTTTCGTTAATTTGTTCACGGGAGTCGAACTCAGGAGTATAACACACACCGAAACCACCCGACCGGGTGTAGAATCACGTCGGCCGGGGCAGGGTGGTCGGGGGGGGGGGTGGGGGGGGGGGGGGAGGTGGTGTTGGAAGCTGACAGACTGAGGGGGGAGTGCCGTGGAGAGTGGCAGATTCGAAAACAGGAGCGAGAGTAGGCCATTCAACCCATCCAGGGTGCTTTCCACCCCCCCCTCTCGCCATTCAATATTATCACTGGCTGCTGACCCATCCCCTTAGGCCCGTTCTCCCCAATTTCACCCCCCGCCCCGTTCTCTCGGACCCCCCCACCCTGCAAGCTCCCAAGAGCGAAATCCGACTCCCTCCTGAGAACGTTCAATGTTTCAGCTCTGCCCGCTCCCCCACCCCCAACCATCCCACCCAGACCGCCCTCCGCGGGCACAGAGTCCCAACCCGCTCCTTGGGTGAAGACATTTCTCCTCATCTCTCGGTCTTACCCCACCTCCTTAAAACTGTGACAGTCCCCTCCCCCATTCCCACTCCCATCCCCCACCCCCCCACAGCCCCAACCGGTTCTAGACACCACCCCCCTCCCCACCAAAATTCGACAGGAACTCTCGTCCCACTTCAATAATCCCCTGGCAGCTCCTTCCACACACGCACCGCCCCCTCGCCTGGAAAATGCTGCCCCCTCAGGTCCCCTCCCCCCCCCCCCCCCACCCACCCAACCTCTTCTCTCACCTTAAACCCCCCCCACCCACGACAGTTTTGGAACTCTCCTTACACACCCCACTCCCCTTCCCTTGGCATCCGCTATCACCCTCGGCCCCACTCGGCTACCCTCTCCCTCCAGAGCGTTACTTTTCGACAAATTAAACCCCCCCCCGCCCCCACTTAAATGCACTCAGAGGCTCGGATTGTCAAGGGGTCGGGGTGGGGGGGTGTTGTCGATAAATCCGAAAGCCTGGCGCCCCCTTTCCGAGGGAAGCAACTGCCTCCCCCACCAACCCTCACCGCCATCTACCAGCCTCTCTCTCCCTAAAACGACAAGGCCTCAATGTGGGTGACTCCAAACTCTTCCTGCGCCCGCATCGTCAAACACCCCCCCGCCCCGAACCAACACCTCAACTTATTTCGCCTCTCGTCCTCCCCGCTCGAGGGCCGGGTACAAACGCTGCCTGGGGGCAGGGGGCAGGGGGCAGAGTGTAGAGTGTCGCGGCAGTGAAGACGATTACACCGAGATCTCGATCCGTGGGGCCGAGGAGGGGCAGATGGAGTTTAATTCGGATAAACGCGAGGTGTTGAGTTTTGGTTAAAAACAGACCAGGGCAGGGCTTAGACAATTAAACGTCGGGCCTTGGGGTAGTGCTGTAGAACAGAGAGACCTGGGGGTTGGGGGGCTCAGGGACATAATTCTTTGAAGTTTGTGCCACGGGGTGTGGGGGGGGAGGTTAAGAAGGTGCGTTTGCCTTCATCGCTCAGAGCTTTGAGTATAGGAGTCGGGGACGTCGCGTTGAGGTTGTACAGGGGCGTTGGCGAGGCCCCTTCTGGAGCAACGTGTCCCATTCTGTTACAGGAAGGACGTTATTGAAGAGGAGAGGGGGCTCGGGGAGAGATTTACCAGGATGTTGCCGGGTGCAGAGGGTCTGAGTTATAATCAACGAGAGACTCTCGTTTTGCATTGAGGGGTCGAGGGAATGACCTTACAGAGGTCTACAAAATGATGAGGGGCCGAGACAAGGCGAGTGAGGGTCTATTTCTTCCCCCCACCCCCCAATTCCTGCAGGGTAGGGGTATCCAAAACTAGAGGCCGCAGGTTTAAAGCGAAGTGGGGAAAGGTTTGGAAAGGACGCGAGGAGGGGGAAGAGAAAGAGAACGAACTTAAAAGACGTTAGGATAAGTACATAGATAGGAAAGGGTTTGGAGGGGATATGGGCCAGGAGCGGGCAGGTGTGGGACTGGGTTAGTTTGGGATTAGGGTCAGCACGAGCTGGATGGGCCGAAGGGTCTGTTTCCATGCCATGTGCCTCTCGTTAGATATCCTCTCCTTCTCCTAAACTCCAGAGAGAATATAATCCCAAACCGTGCAACCTCTCTTCATAAAATAATCCTCTGACTCTCTCACCAGCGGAAGGCTGACAACGTTGCTTTCGGCATCCAGATGCCTCAAAACAAACACGCAGCGGCCATTTTGTTTGGACAGGACAAGGCCAGCAGTTACCGTAGAGTTGACACGAGCATCGCTGGAGCACGCCATAGGCCCCTAATGACTCATCCAGAAATTGTGCGGTTTTTTTAATTTGCGTCTGGGGTTAAGAGGAGCATGTATTGCTTTAATCTCAAGATTAGATCAAATTTCTGCTCACCCTGGGGACTTACAATGAAAGAAAGCCACAGAACTGTGTGGTTCGGTGGTTCACCGAACAGTTTTGCTGCGAGTCAGGCTGACGGTTGTCAGGGGGGGTGGGTAGCTGGTGGGAATCGAAGCCTTGGATCGCCACCGAGCGGTCAAAATTGCGAGGTCCATCCGCAGCAAAGACTACCGTGGCACGGTGATCGCTTCAGCCCCCATCATCAGCCGGTCTCTTCCAGTAGGGTTTGCTATCTCAGCCATACCTCTCGAAAGGCCCCTCACGCTGCGGGTGAAGTCACTCCGGATGAATT